GCTTTTCACAGATGCTGAAATAATTTATTTACAGAAATCTGTTGTAATTTTAATAGCCAAACAAATCACTGTTTTTTTTTTTTTAATCTGGTATTATGTATCCAGCTGTGACCAAGACCCCAAGGCATTATTATTTTAATTGTCATAGTCATCTGTCATTCTCTTTATTGTACTGCATGAAACATGAGTAGTGCTTTTGAGCAAACAGTCCCATAATGGTGTAAGTGTTCTGTCTGTTAACAGTACTTTGGTAGTACTAATTTTATGAAATTGAATTAGTTTTGATTTCTTGGTATTCTAACCTGTCATCTATAAGTTAAGTGGAATTTGAGCAACTTTTTTTGTTGTTGTTAAATACTGGATATCCTACTGTTGGGTTTGAAACAGTGGTTTTTTTTTGTTTTTTTTTTTTTTGTGGGTTTTTGTCATGTTTTGTCATTGTTATGACTTGTAATCATATCTTTTGTAAACCATTTGAAATTGAAGATACATTCAAATGGAGTACACAGAAAAGAACAGTAAAAGAAATACTGTATTAAAAGTGTTATATATGTATTATACGTAGTACTCTTTCAAAAGGAAGTTATACATTTCTCTGGAAGCAAACATTGTTTTGCTTAGAACATTTAGTTCCATATGCTTCAAGGTTTAAAAAAAAATAATAAATTGGCAACAGGATTGTAGGTAGAGACATTATGGTTGCATACCACTTCAAATGTGACAGGTTGCTTTTAATGTATTTTCCATTTGAGGATTAATGTTCATAAGCATAGGCAATTATTCTGTGCAGTATGTTTATATTTGTGTGCAACATTATAAAAAGATTTTGAGACATATTATTTGGAATTGGAGCTCATTAATGAGAGATGAATTGTAAGCCTGATGAAATGATACAGATAAACTAGCCTTAAAATACATCTGTAAAAAGTAAGCCAATGAATTTTAGAGCTTGCAATTTACTTTTTATTTCATACATGAAATTTAATACTTGATATTAATGTGTATGTCTCTGAATATTACATGAGTTGTCTAATTAAATTGAATAATTGGGTATATCTGAATATATTATCAAGAATAGATTAAACCTGCTTATAGTAAATTTATATTAAAAAATTTAGTAGTCCTGCTCATATTTAAGTAATTTCTCTTGCTTTAGATACAGGTTAAAGAGCACAAGCTTTTCAGAGTTTCAAGACGTATATAAGAAAGTCTTGTGTTAAGCGAGTTGCTAGCTAAACAGACTTTATTGTTAACTTTCCATTTCTTTTAATGTGGTGTAGAACTTCAAGAAATATGGTTCCCGGAATGGCTGTGCCTTTGATCTCTTCTTACTGTGTCTAGTAACAGATGCCTCAAGAATTATGAGAACAAGATAAGAATGTGTGATACTTTTTTCATAGAATCACCAAAGTTGGAAAAGACCTCCGAGATCATCCAGTCCAACCATTCACCTACCACCAATATTTCCCCACTAAACCACGTCCCTCAGTACATCATCTGAAAGTTTCTTGAACACCTCCAGGGATGGTGACTCAACCATCTCCCAGGCAGCTTGTTACGGAGCCTGACTGCTGGAAGAAGAAGAAGAAATTTTAAGAAATTGGAGAAGAAATTTTTCCTAACATCAAATCTTAATATCCCCAACAGGGGAGATGGGGAACTTGGGCTATAAAGTCTCCTGAGCCTCCTCTTCTCCAGACTAAACAATCCTATTTCCCTCAGCTGCTCTTCATACGAGTTCTGCAGAGTTCTGCAGAACTCTCACTGCTTTGTTGTCCTTCTCTGAACATGCTCCAGGGCCTCAATGTCTTCCTTGCAGTGAGGGGCCCAAAACTGAACGCAGTGCTCGAGGTGTGGCCTCGCCAGTGCTGAGAGTACAGAGAGATGATCACTTCCCTACTCCTGCTGGCAATGCTATTTCTGATACAAGCCAGTATACCATTGGCCTTCTTAGCTACTTGGGCACACTGCTGGCTCATGTTCATCTGAGTGTTGACTACCACCTCCAGATCCATTTCTTCTGCACAGTCTCCCAGTCATTCTACCCTAAGCCCATAGCGTTGCTTGGGATTATCGTGGCCAAAGTGCAGGACCTGGCACTTGGTCCAGAACTTCATCCCACTGGCCTCAGCCCCCAGTGATCCAGCCAGTCCAGATCCCTCTGAAGGACCTTCCTACCCCCTGGCAGACTTCCAGCCAACTTGGTGTCATCTGCAAACTTACTGAGAGTGCACTCAGTGCCCTCATCCAGGTCATCAACAAAAATACTGAACAGGACAGGCCCCGGTACCGACCCCATTGGGGGCACCACTCCTGACCAGTCATCAGCTGTGTTTTACTCCATTCACCACCAGCCCTCAATCCAGTCCTGTACCCAGCAGAGTGTACCTGCCCAGGTTGTGGGCTGCCAGCTTCTCTAGAAGAATACTGTTGAAGGCAGTGTCAAAGGCGTTGCTGAAATCTAGGTGGACTATGTCAATAGCTTTTCCCTCATCCTCCAGGTAGGTCTTCTTCTAGAAGAAGATCAGATTGATAAAAAGCAGGACCTGACTTTTGTGAACCCATGCTGACCGGGCCTGATCCTCTAGTTGTCCCACACATGCTATGTGATATCACTCAGGGTGATCTGCTCCATAACCTTTTCTGGCACAGAAATCAGACTGATGCACCTGTAGTTCCCTGGATCCTTCTTACAACCCTTCTAGATGGGAGTCACATTGGCAGGCCTCCAATCCTTTGGGACCTCTCTGGTTGATCAGGAATGCAAATAGATGGCGGAAGGTGGCTTGGCAATCACCTCTGACTGTTCCCTCAACTCTCTTAGGTGGATTGCATCTGAATCTTTGGACTTGTGACAGTCCAGGTAGAGTAGTAGTAGGTCTCTTAATTTTTTCCACCTGAATCGAGGGTGGTTTATTCTGCTTCCCATCCCAGACTTCCAGGTGAGGGGTAGAGTACCCCAAGGATAATTGGTCAGAGTTTTAAAGGCAGATGTAAAGAAGGCATTGAGAACTTCAGCCTTTTCCTTATCCTCACTGGTCACGTTCCCCATTTTCTACTATTCTCTTAGCCTTCAACTGCTTCCAGTTTGAAAACCTCTTTAACTAGCTGGGGTTTCTATGCATTTGCTGATGATCAGTGTGTTTCTTTTCCATAAGTTAGTGCTGTTGGAAAGCTTTGGTCTCTCCTGATTCAGGTCATTTATGAATATCTAAAATAGCATAGATCCCAGTACAGAAGGCAATGAAACCTCCCCTTTCGTACCTGTGAAGACCAGTTTATTCCCACCCTCTGTTCTATACCATTTCAGGGATCACTTATCCTTGCTGTGGCTCTTACTTTTTACATTCGCAGAATCACAGAATTGTAGGGGTTGGAAGGGACCTCCAGAGATCATCGAGTCCAACCCCCCTTCTGGCTCAGTTTTTTGAAAAGCTTTGCTAGGGGACTTTCTAACTCTTGGAACTAATCTAGGTCATTGCACTCCATCCTCATGCTTATGAACCTGATGAGGTTTCCCTTTATAAAAGCCGTGTTGACTCTTCTCTAACAAGTCATCCAGGTGGCTACAATTCAGTTTTTATAATAATTTGTACTAATTTGCCTGAATGTCAGTCTTACAGGCCTGAAGTTCTCAAGATATACTCAATGACAAAAATTTGAAAGTTAGTATTGTGCTTGCCACCTTCCAGTGTGTATTATGGAGATTTTACAAATTGTTACTGATTCTGTACTCTTTGTTTTGTTAATTTTTTTTGTTGATTTGTATATAGTCACTTCAGTTGCTTTGACAGGTCTCCCACAAAGAAGAGTTTTGGTATGAGGATGTCTCTAGTTCATTGCCACACTAGTGGAAGGTGTTAATTCAGCTTGCTTGCAGTGATCTTGTCTTCTCTGAGTGTTCCTTTTATATCTTTGTTATCAGCTGACTCTACAGATTCCTTTTCAGGCTTTCTTATTCTTCATATGTTTGAAGGAATATTTGCTAATAGCTTGATAGTTGCTCCTTGGGTTAATTTTCATATAAATTATAAATCACCCTTTTATAATCTGTTGTATTTATAGTTGTGCTTTTTTTCTCCTATTACTGAAGTATTAATAAATGATATGCATTAGCCTCGTGCTGACCACGTGCCATCCATGTGGTATCCTTATATAGTTGACACACCACCTGTGGCAATTTAACTTTTCCTCCTTATGTCTTTGTGTATTCATTTTTATTTATTCATCTAGACCTATTGTGCAGTGAAGGCAAAGATTTCATAAAAATATTTTCCTCAAACCAGGGAGCATTAGAAGCACTCTATGAGGCACTCCATCTGTACAAGAGAAATAATTACTGAGCCTTTTCTCAGACTTGAATCTCCTTGTCTGCTGGACTAAATGTGTGATGTCCGTTGAACTGAATGAAAGAAATTCTTCTTCTTTTACTTCAGTGTAAAGTAATCAGTTACTAGAATTTTGACCTGCCAAAGTATAATATATTATTTTAATGTACATTTTTTAATACATTGTTTCTAATAAACTTAGTTGTAGACATCTGATGTTTCATTTTTGAAAGGTCTTTTGAACTGCGGGAGAGGGAGCTGTGCTTTAAGAAGTGTTGAGATTGGTTTCACATGGAGAGTTCAGTTAATGCTTATACAGAAGCAGCTTTAGATGCTGTAAACCTTCCTTTTATACAAATCCAAGAAACTAATTGGTCTAGTTCCTTGGATATCTGCATAGTTCAGTCAGTTTAAACCAGCTGAATGTCTCTCTTGTAATGTATTAAATAATTTCATTTATCATAAATAAATTAGAAATTAATATTTAACTTTTGTTTACGTTTTTGAAGCATTCTGAACTAGCTTAGTGAGTATAGACTGTTGCAACTGATAATCATGCACCTTAAATTTACTTATTTGGTAATTATTAGAAATCTTTCTAAAGGCAGGCTCATTTTGTTGGGTATACTTGCTTATCTTCTTGCTTATCTATGCTTTCCTTTCCTGTTTTAGGTAAATATGCTGAAGATATATTTGGTGAACTTTTCAATGAAGCACACAGTTTCTCATTTAGAGTCAACTCCTTACAAGAACGTGTAGATCGCTTATCTGTCAGTGTTACACAACTTGATCCAAAGGAAGAGGAATGTAAGTTAAGACCTGTGTTAAAGACTTCTTATTTTGTCACTCAAACATCACCAATATGGATGGTGATTATTTCATGAAATTCATTCCATAAAATGAAAATAATAATAGTTTAAATTACATTTATAAGAACAGAGCAAAATATGACAGTGAGGATCATTTGAAACTTTAATACTATTGTGATTCATATTAATAGTATTACTTTGTAACATCATGGGAATTCCTGGGAGTACAGCTTCATTTTATATTTTTAACCTTCCTAATGATTGCCATGGTATGTAACTGTTTATTCAGGTAGGGTTTTTGCATTTAGCTTGCTAGCATCTTAGATTGTGTATGAAGTTATACTCCTATAGCTCCATTTACAATGGATGAATTATTCCCTTGAATTCTTCCTAAATTGCTTTAAGTAGTGTAGAGATTGGTGGCTCTGAGAAGACAAGTTACTTCTGACACTCAATAGGATGTGGCTTGTGCTTACAAAATAGAAATTTTATTGGATTTAAATAGTATGTGAGCTTTGTGATGACCATGAGAACATTGATTAGCTAATATGCAAATATGAAACTTTTTTGCCTTCCTGGATATCTTTTATTGCAGGTGAAATAATGGAAGATCCTGTAACCCCAGTTTTAAGGGTATTCTAGACTATGTGGTTAAGATGTGGAAAATAGAGCAACATCTGGTCATGAAAAATAACTTCAGATGGATTGTGAGATCCAGTTATAAAGTGTAGAAAGATGTTTCAGTTCTGAATGTTTAGGCATGATAGTGGTGTGTAATTCAGGAAAAATGAAGTGTCAAACCAGTAACGTGGTCTTTGGCTGTGTTCTTTTACCTATGTTGAAATTTCAGTATTAACAAAAATCAAATTAAGGAAATTTAGATTCTGTACCTTGCGTGACAGTTATTTTAGAGCAGGTTTCAAAAGACAGCTGTTAACAGCTAGTAGCAGATTTTCCACAAAACCATGACTTGCCTAGGGGAATTCTTACATAAAGGGGATTTTCCAAGTCTCTTGACAGCTGAGCATTAATCATACATACTTGTTTTTCCAATAAAATGCCATATTTACTATGATTGGATAATGGCAAAAATCCTTTTTGTGTACAGTAATAGATTGTCAGCAGTTGTAATCTTTTAATGGCTATAACACACCAGATTGTTAATTTCACTTCCACGTTTATCCTGGACAACCTAGTTTCTGTTATAATCAGAGTAGGATTTACATTGATGTAACTGGTCTGGTATGGCAACCATTCACATTCCTCGAAAATTTGGAGATCATACAGTTAAAGTGTCTTAAGGATGTCACAGGACAGCAAGATGGAAATTTGTACTTTCCAGTAAGTGGCCTTTGACAAGTTTGGTTGTAGGTTTCATTACTAAATATTCATACCTATTTGATGCTAGAGAATTGCCAGAGATATTTTTAAAGACAGTATATCCCTGATGTACTGGTAATAACTTTTCACAGTACTGCATATATTGTAAGATGTATTTATTAAAGTGTATATATAAGAAAAGGGACAGACGTTGCAATTAAAGAAAACAGGGCTGCAGAGAAGTCTACTTGATCCAGTCCAGAGTGAATAAATGTGACTTGAATCTGATACCCTGGATTTGTCTCTTACTCTATAAGAGAGGAGTGACAGCTCATGCATCAGAAGAACACATGCAATCCTCAGTGTCAGGAGCTATTAAATGACTGCTTTTATTAACCTAAGAAGTCCTTGAGCCATATCTAGTCTCCCTTATTCACAAATGTCTGCCCTGGATGAGGAACAGATGAGGGTAAAGAAGATGAGTAGAAAACAGTGTATTTTCTCAAAAAATAGGGATCAGGATACCTTTTCACATTCAGTGTCCTCTTTTGAGCTTGAAATCTACAAGTTTATCACAAATGATCTTGTGTTAGCCCTGGCCTGTGCTGAAATAACTGGAGAAAGGTAATGCTTAAAGATTTGGGGAAGGCATTTGAATTTATCTCGCATTTTCCTTACTCTCTATGCAAGAATTAAGCAATTTTCAGTATTTCTGTTCAGCTAACAGCATGTGCAAAATGGGCTATACTTACAAAATGAGTCTCATTTGATAGTTCTTTGCCAGCAGGCAGTAATAAAAGATGTAATGGGTTCCTTTGGGCCCAGTGCTATTACACAAGAGGAAAATAAAAAGATTCATTTAAAGCTAAGCAGCATGAACAAGACCAGCCCAAGTCAGATTCACTGAAAAAGGTGCAGATACTTGACAGGTGTTTCTGATAGAGAAGATACAGATTTTTCTGATAGGAAAAAAGCTCTGCGTGTTTAAATAGTCTGTGTGTTTTCTCATTGTTTTCAGTTAATTTAATATCTCTGTAAAGAATAAAATCAAATGAAAGTAAGATTAGAATTGTATCCTGAAGAAACTGACTCTTTGCACACAACCCTGTCACAGAAAAGCAGTGAAATAAGTGTGGTCTGTATGGACGTACAGAAATTGGAGACTAGGTTAACTTCCAGATCAGTGTAGTCAGCCCACTGTGAGATTCAGAGCAAAGGATACAGTAAATCCCATTTAAAGAGGCAGCTCATTTAGGATCTCCAGCCTCCTGAAGAGGAATTTGGTGAATTGTTCTAAACTCATATTTCTATACACAGAACACATGAAATTCATCCAAGACGTTACATTCATGTAATGTTTTAACGTGAAGAATAATAGTGCTGTAAATTGATTCATAATTTTGACCAAAGTGAAATAAAGAAAAGGACTGTTAAATAACATTGCACAGTTGCTCCCTTTCCTAGGAACTTTGCTTTGCAACTCAGTGTTGGATTTGAGCACGTGTCCCTCTGATGGCTGAGTTCCAGCTGCTTTCTTTTTCTTCCTTTTTTTCTTCCAGTTCTTAGTCCTCAATTCATTTTGTGTGTTATTTTGTAAGTAAATCAGCTTTAAATTAGTGTGTCCAAAGCTCAGTAGCTCAGTGTCAAAGCCATGATTTTGCATAATTTGTGGGTGTTTTTTTGTATATAAAGAGGGATCTGGACAGAATGTCATTTGTTAAATAATGTAAGGGTTTTGTTGAGACCCACCAGTAGATTCATTGCTTGATGCAGCTGGCTGATTGTGTTCTCTCACGTGCTGCCCTGGGCTTCCTAGTGCTGTGTGCTGCATTTAAAGCAACTTCTGAGTCCTCTTAAAATGATTGCTATAGTATTTGTCTTCTCTTTATTTATTTGTAATAGTTAAGTTACACAAACTCTCTATCCAAAGATGACTTAATCTGCTGCTGTTTTTAAGAATATTAGAGAATATTGGCATTGCTCATCTTGGGGGTAAACCCAAAAGTGAGCACGATCTGTTCTGGAGAGGTGGTCTCTCTGCTTAGCAAGTATTAGATCTGTGGTGACTGGTCAGAATGAGAAACCTGGTAAGTGTTTAACTAAAGCGTAAGGATCTCAACTTTTAAAGCCTAGATGCTGTTTTTTGTTGTTGTTTTTTTGTACATGGCAGTAAACACAAGTGGTGTAACACACTGACTTTTTGAGAAATGTAGGTATATGAAATTTAAGATCACAGGCCATACAAAGATTACGGTGCCAATTAGATGTTAGGCAACTAGAAGTTTAATTTTATTGGCATCAAGTTAAATCCCTGAATCACTTCCAATTCTTTCTTCAGCATCCTATGTCTTCCCTCACCTGAATTCACATGTACAATTTGTTTGCCTCTCTTGCTGTGCTAATTTGTCACTCTACCAAAGCTAAATGGCCATATGACCAGCAATGTTTCTGTGTTTTTCTCACCCCGGTGGGAAGCCACATGCATGTTGCTGCTGTTCCTCAGCCAGCTGGCAAGCTACATGAATGGCTTTGTAAGCCAAACTGTACACAGCCCAGAGTTATATGCTGTGTTTGTAACATGCAATTTAGGCAATCATTTTTTTCTGTAGGCTAGTTATATCAGTGTCATAATTCTCAGTATTTTGTGTTCTTTGTCCTTGCATTTCCTTCATAATGTAATAGTATATTCAGTTGTGTTGAATGATTGCATTGAATACCGTTCATTGAATATCAATGCAGGGAATGCTTTTGGCCTTCTGAAATTCAGTTTTCTCTTAAGACCTTTGCACATTAGTCTGGTTTTAGAGAGAAAGTAATCTGCAAACACTAGGTAGGGATTGATTATCCTCAGGTGTGATGTTCCCTTGTACATGATTACAAAAATTGGAAATTAAAACAACAAAATGCACGTTATGAATTTGACCAACTGTATTTGCTCACTTGAGATTAAATAGGGAATGTGAATAGTTTATAGGGTAATATATATCTCAGGAATATGGTGCTGCATACCTCATGCACATTTTAATATTAAAACAACTGTCTTTATGGCAATGTTCTTTTTTTATTACTTTCAGAACATATGCGGGTTCTAAGAGAAATACAGCAATTTATTTCTTTTAACTGACATAGTTTCCAATAAAAGAATAGTTAAAGACCTGTGGAATTGTCAAGCAACTCTGAACACGTACATTTGGTGAAATTTGTAAGACCAACAACCTAAAGGAGAAGCAGCTGAAGTATAAAAGAATCTAAAAATGGCATTTTAGACTAGGCAAACCCCAGTCTTTTATTTTAAGCGTGAACTTTTGGCAGCAAATAACAGTGCATACTTCATGACAGGTACAAAATATATGTTGTTATTTATGAGTATAAAAGTACTTGAAGAAACAGAACCTCCTAGCTGATATCCATGCATTATAGTACTTCTTTCATGTAGCATGTAAAAAGGCTTCTGAGCAGCTAATTAAAGGTATTAAAACAATAAAAAAATACAGTAACAAAATGGAATCTAAGGATAAACAGGAGCAAACTGTTCCAGCACATATAACCTTGCCAACTGCAATGAACCTCAAACAGCAAACTGAAAATCAAATAAAACCTATCTTTAGCCTCACAAAGAATACTGCCAATATGCTTAGGTAAGAAGAAAGAACATGTCAGGAATTGTAAGCCTGCTGGAAAAAATCCTGCCCCTTTTTTGATCATAGAGTAGAACCTCATCTCTGTGTATATGTACATATACTTCTATGTGTTACAGGAAAGAAGAGTAAAAGCAGCTTTCAGCTTAAACCAGCGTGATCTTAGAAAACAGTTGCCAAAGGCCTTCATGATTTTCTCTAAAGCAGTGAGATAGGGAAGGCGTTCTCTCATCTTGAGTACGCAGGCACTACGGTCAGCATAAATGTGTTAGTGTGTATGTATAAAATTTTGTGGGTTTTATTTTTAATAATATCTGAATGGATGAACGAAGCTGCTGATTTATTTAGTGAAGGTTCGACACAGGCTGCAAAATCCGTTTTGAGAAATGCCAGGGGCTTCACAAGTATAGTAATTGACCATCAGGGAGGAAGGCTGACATGGACTGAGAAGGTACACTGTTCCAGAAATGGAAGGTGCGAGTTTCACTGATCGCAGTCACTTCCCCATTATTTTTTAATCTAAATTTTAATGATTGTGAAATAGAAAAAGATGAAGAGGCTTTAACAACAGTAAGTCAGTATGTTTCAAATCACTGTTTAATCTATTGAATTCACCTAGTGTTATTTTTCCTTTGAATCTTGCATAATGATAATTGATAAGCGCTTAAAAACTCCAAGTGACTCACCTGAATTAAACAGAAGAGCCTTATCTCAACTATTCAGTCTGATAAAAGCCAACACTTGACTGCTTTGATGTGTTGAAACACAGTATCACCTCTCATTAGAACTCTCTGATAACAGTACAGTGAGCTTAAGTGATTTGCCAATTTGGTATCTCAGTGGGCCTTCTTAGGAACTGCTACCTACATGCAAGGAAGAGAAGTCCTAATGACAGATAAAGGTAAAATCTATACCTCAAGATGAGCACACAAAACATTGTGGAGTGGGTGAATGTTATTAGGTCCTTTCAAGCTAGAGAATTATTTTAAACTACAGAAAGCAATTTGTTGAACTACCTTGGAGAGATAGAGAGAGGGTTCTGATGATCTGTCCAGGTAAGCAGAAGTTTCCTGCAAAACTAAATTCAGTGTGATATGCTGGAACATTTCAAACGTGTTTTTCACGTAATCTGACAACATCTTGTCATGTTACTATTACTAGATGAATTTATATTTGTTGAACATGCATTTGTACTGGGTGTACAATATTAGTAGTAATGCTTAATATTGATGTTCTAACTAGCATTTAGCAATTCCAGATTAAATCAAATAAAGTGTATTTAGCTTTTTTCTCTCTTTTTACATGGCCGTATCCCCTTTCAGTGTCACTGCAGGACATTACCATGAGGAAAGCTTTCCGCAGTTCCACAACTCAAGATCAGCAGCTGTTTGACCGCAAAACTCTGCCTATTCCTTTGCAAGAAACCTATGACATTTGTGAACAGCCTCCTCCTCTTAACATTCTCACCCCTTACAGGTTAGTTAAAATGAAAAACCAATCAAAACCAATTTCTAGCTAGTTATATGTAGTAGAGATTCTATATTAAGTCATCATGCTCATGTTGAGTAGTGCTGGAAGAGCCGCGCTGGAAAACAGTGAAGCTGCTTGAGGAGTACAGATAAGAGAAGATATTGAACGTGTTAAAACCTTATTCTAGTTTACTCAAATTTTACTCTAACCTAACAATGGTAAGAAAAAGTATTTTCGATTATCTGTGTATATTAAGCTGAGTAATGCTCTTGAATAAGAACAGATGAAAACAAGTGGTAGAATACATAGAAAGAAATGTCTTCAGCAGAGGTGAATATTTTTTGCTACATCCAAATCAGTCTGAATCAATAGTTGCAACACTAGCCACTCAGATTTACCTTTGAATTGTTGGACTGAGAATTCTCTTATTAAGGATACTCATTTTATCTTTAACTTGTGTTAAAGTCACTTCTCTGGAATCTGAACCTTGATACAAGGAAAGATGATAAAGAGTGATGTCGTAGGAGATCAGTTTTTAACTTCTGTCTGTTCATCTGTGGCAAAATATTTCCAGGCGTGAAATAGCACATATTCTTGAATAAGCCTTTAATTTTTGTGTTAACGCTTGTTGTCGAATAAACATTATATCCTGTTTGGGTCATTGTATTGCAGGGATGATGGAAAAGAAGGTTTGAAGTTTTATACCAATCCTTCATACTTCTTTGACCTCTGGAAGGAAAAAATGTTACAGGACACTGAGGACAAAAGAAAAGAAAAGAGGAAGCAGAAGGTATGTATGTTAGCTTTGTGTAGTTGGTTGTTTTTTGTTTGTTTTTTTTTTTTCCTGGAAATGGTTCACTTGCTTATATGGTGAATTTTGGTTATGGTATTAATAACAATACAGACTTTACAGAAATATGGTCATCTTCATTCAACTGAAACTACTGTTGTTCATTCAAATTCCCTTGACTTAACAAACAAATACTTAATAATAATATGAATGTGCCCAAAGGTTTCATATTGCCTTAAAGTAAATAAAAGCAGGTTTGCCAGAAGCTATAAGAACCTATAAATCACCTACAGTGACTCAAGAAAGAGCAAAAAAGAAATAAAAAATTTTGCTAGACCACCTTTTTTTTTTTTTATGGTACAAAACTCTGACAGTCTCACAGATGGGAAAAAAAAAACCAAACAACCACCAACTGCAACAATACCCAAATGAAATCCTTATGCACATATTTACTCTAAACAGGGCAGAAATTAGCAGGAATTGAGCAGTTTGTATATATTTTCTTAAATAAGCAGTTTTGAAAAGATAGTGCTGCTTTTTTTGTTTCTTCATGATTCTGTATATTTCATACGTAAAGACAGTAAGTATAACTGATTCAGCGTTTCATTTCAAGCAGTATAAAAATCTACCTGGGCAGTTATTTTCCCCTGCCTTATAAGTAACTTATGCATTAGAGTGAGTCTTCTGCCTTTCACAATGCTTTTTGGTTTATATATTTGTATTGACTGAAATTTAATTTTTGTTGTTTCTTCTTGCTCTTGAATTGGGATTGTTTTTCATTTTTTTATGCATGATGTATAAATGCAACTAGTTGAAAAACGTTGTCTTAATTGTCACTTTTGTTTGCACAACTCTCCTACAGCAGAAAAATCTAGATCGCCCTCATGAACCAGAAAAAGTGCCAAGGGCACCTCATGACAGACGGAGGGAGTGGCAGAAGCTAGCCCAAGGTCCAGAGCTCGCAGAAGATGATGCTAACCTCTTACATAAGCACATTGAAGTTCCTAATGGGCCAGCCTCACATTTTGAATCCAGGTTTCTTTTTATTTTTTCTATCCGTTATTAAGTATAGATACTTGTAATGTACAGCAAACATGCTTGAGGAGTGGTAGATGATGAGATGCTACTGCTTTTCTTGAAACACGCTGAAAATTATTGACTTAGTTCTATCAAAAGTCAGTTTTAAAATTCTCAGTCGGTGTATCTTTACAAGAGTTACTATTATCTTGTTATTGAAGTCATCTGTTTGTGACTTGAAGGAAATATAGTCAGTATATCCCAGTCTTGACCTTCAGAAATCCCCATTATTCCAAGCGCTTGATCTTTCTTACAGCAGACACTGCCAAGATTATATGGTGGGTGTGATGTGAACAAATGTCCATTTGGAACTCGAATGAGACCGCTGAGCTTCTCTTTACTCATGAACAAATCCAAGATTTGATTGATGCTTCTGGTTATGATCTATTACGAAATCCAACCTGTTGAATTTTCATTTCACAGCACATATTTGCAGGTGGCTAAATGCAGCATTTTACATAGTATTCCTCCTGTGTTTCCTTTGGTGATGCTTGTGCAAAACCAATTCTATTTTATCAGCTGAGAAAATTATGATAAAGAGGGCTCAAAAGTAATGTCAGCAGTTTTGGAGGTGTGGTTTTGGTGTGATTTGGTTTGCTTTGGGCTGGGTTTTTTGTTTGTTTGTTTGTTATATTGTTGGTTGTTTGTTGCCCTATACTACAAAATAAACAAATAAATGAATCCTGCCCCATCTTTCACTGGCCAAGCATTTTGTTTAACTTAATAGGGCTTTCAAATACACTTAATAGTAGCAGTGGATAACTTACAGCATCTGTTGGAGATAATGTTCTGTGTCTGAGAAGTGCAAAAAGCTACTTGTAGAAAAGCTAGCTGTTTGAATTCATAAAGGAAAAATGATCTCAGTTTAGCCAGTAGGGTACTACTTAAGCTGTGGCAAAGAATGTTTTTGTGGGAACAACTTTGTAGTGTCTTATCTCTGTAAACAACTCTGTTAAGTAGTTAGCAGAAACATCTGCTTTACTGCTGTCCTTTTCTTTTGTTGTACTGGATTCCATATTAGGCACACTTCTTGCAGGACTCCTTTTATAGCCAGGACCCTCACCAAGACCTTGATTATCTCAGTAACAGTAGTGAAATTATGAATAATGCAGTAGTGCTTGAGGGCACTGCGTGTGCAGAAGATGTTATTCAGATATAGAAGAACAGAGTGCTTTTGAATAACAGAGTAATAGTTTTGCCCTCTAATTGTTTAATAGTCTTGGATATTACACTGGTAGCAGTACGTATAAAGGTGAAATACTTCTATAAGCGTTGGGCAGTGTTCTGCAAACACATTTCATCTATATTTCATTGAGACATTTAAGCAGTTATTAATATTTTTAGTTAAGTGATTAAGTAAAATTTTCTAGCAGATCAGGCCCTCAAAGGGTGTCTAAATTTGCAAGTTGAATTATTTTATGCTGTCTTTATTTGCATTTAGCTGTATTTGATGTTACTACTCAATAGTAGATCTTCTTTAGATTACCTTCTTTGCATCTATTATATAGCTATAAAATACTGGATCTAAAGTAGTGTGTTCTCCAGTATAGAGAATGCTGGAGTATGGATTAAAGTACTGGAATGAAGATCCTCTGACAAGATCAACTAAATTATTCAGTTGTAAATTCTACCACTTGATGGATGTTATGAAAGAATGTTACAAAAGAATGTGTTTGCTCATATGCTGGGTTTTAGGAGCTGAAACTATTACAAATATAATGCCTGTTGCATAACATACTGCTGTGTGCATATTCCTGGTTGTATTGATATGTGTACCTAAATCAAAGTAACGTGATTCGTGAACCCTAAGATCAGGCATATAATGTAGAAATTGTCTGATATGCCTGTCAAAAGCACTGAGCCTTTGAGCTGCTAGAAGCAGTGGCATGGGAAATTGGATATATTATTAAAAAGTCATTAAGTATATAATATACAACATTAGTGAAGAGAAGATCTTGGAATTCAGAAACAAAACTGAAATATAAAACAGTAACAGAGAGCAATAATACTTAGATTTAACAAAGGATCGTTTTTCACTGCTTTCCTACAGATCTCAAGCATATGTGGACCATATGGACGGATCATATTCTCTTTCTGCATTACCCTATAGCCAGATGTCTGAACTTCTGAACAGAGCTGAAGAGCGAGTGTTGGTCCGACCACATGAACCACCACCACCACCTCCAATGCACGGTGCAGGAGATGTGAAACCTGTGCCTCCTTGTGTTAGGTAGGTAAAGAGCGGTCAAGTCACATGCAGTCCTGCTGGGAAATTTGTTTTCTACTACCCCACTAACAGTTATGAGTGTTACTTTTGTGTGGCCCGAGTGGTACATACACTCTGTGTCAGTCCAGAAACCTGACTTCTCCACAGCCACAGGTCCATGTAGGAGTTGGGGAGAAGAGTTAAAACCTAAGTCTCACAGTGTGTAGTTTTGGAAACAGATGCCACCTAGCTATTGGTATTTTACCTGTGTAACCTTCTGAGGATAACTGTTTGGAAAATGTTTCTTTGAATGATGTTGGAATCTCAGCTTTGGAGTTTTGAAAATCTGGAAATCTGACATTTGTACTACTGAGCTGTGTTTCATCATACATGGAAGGAAGAATGTACTTCCATGGTACGAAGATCAGCTGACAAAACTACACATTCATTCCATGTGCTAACTTACAGTGACTTTTTTTCCCCTCTGTTATTTTAATTTTCATTTCCCTGCCTTTCCAGAGCTGGATACATACTTAAAGTATTTTCACCCCGCTGGTACTTTTGTATCAAAAATCTTGGTTTAGGGTCAGGTATGTACAGTTTGGAATAGAGGACAGTTGAATTGTTTCATCCATGAGATATTAATCTCTCAAGAAGAACGTCTTTTTACTCCCCAGGAGAATATATGCAGAATGGCAACAGTTTTAAAATTAATTTTACCACAGCAGCTGAGAGAAATCCTCTAGTGGTCTTTCTGGAAAGTAATTTTACTGTTCCTATTTGCATTTGATTCACATATTCATTGCACTGTAATGAATAGCTAGCATGTAAGCATACACTTCTGTAGATAAAATTGATGAACTTTAATATAAGCCTCACTCACTCTGTCATCAGACCCTAAGTATGCATTTTGCTTTTACTCATTGCTTTTAGTGTTCTGGGGGGGTTGGGTTAATTGGTTTGGTTTAGGTTCTGTTGGTTAAAGCAGTTAATCAACCACTAGTTACCTTCAGGTAAATAACTTCAGATAAATAACTTTGATTTACTCAGAGTTGAGAGGATAGAATAATACTCACCATAGGAAACATCTGATAAAGATGCAGGTTTGTATAAACTTGATTAATAGTTGGATGTGAGCAAAGGTCTGTTGGAAGACTGATGCATACTGCATACTGAGAATTTACATGTATGAACGGAGATTACCTTGAAATCATCATAATACATAACATTCTTTAATGGCCAGTGCTCAGTATTCTTTAATTGTAGAAATTAATCTATTACTATTTTTTTCACTCTGCCACTCTAATAACTTTGTCATGTTCTTTCAGTTCTACTACTGGATTGGTAGAAAACCGTCCTCAGTCACCAGCGACAGGCAGACCACCGGTGTTTGTGAGCCCCACTCCTCCTCCCCCCCCCCCCCCACCTCTTCCATCTGCTTTGTCCACTTCATCACTACGAGCTGCGATGACTTCCACACCGCCTCCCCCAGTCCCACCTCCTCCCCCACCGCCCGCTGCTGCTCTGCAGGCCCCAGCCGTGCCACCTCCGCCAGCTCCTCTCCAGATAGCTCCTGGGGTCTTACATCCAGCTCCACCTCCAATTGCCCCTCCCCTGGCACAGCCCTCCCCGCCTGTCACTAGAGCTGCACAAGTGTGTGAAGCGGTACCAGTCCACCCAGTTCCTCCTCAAGGTGAAGTACAGGGACTTCCTCCACCACCTCCACCTCCTCCCTTGCCACCTCCTGGTATTCGACCCTCTTCTCCCGTCACAGTTGCAGCCCTTTCTCATCCCACTCCTGTTCTCCACCCTCCTCCCACAACCATTGTCCCTGGCCCTCATGCTCCTCTTATGCCTCCATCTCCACCATCACAAGTGATTCCTGCTCCTGAACCCAAACGCCACCCTTCAACTCTTCCTGTAATCAGTGATGCTAGAAGTGTGCTGCTGGAAGCAATACGGAAAGGTATGGAACAAAAAGAATGATCTCAGAAACTTAATAAATCCTCATTGGCTTTAAAAGATGGAATATTTAACATGTAAGAAGTTAGTTTAGAGAAATGCATCTTAGCTCTGTTTTTGTTCTCTGTTCTCTCAGCGTGAAGACTGCCAAATAGACAGATTTTCTTTTTTTCAGTTTGTAATTGCACTTATCAGATCTCTAGTTTGGATGGCAAAACTGGTTCTCTGTTAGATCGGAAGAAGTGTACATGTGTTTATAGATAATCTTTGGAGATTATCTCTTCATTTCTGTCTGCCTATTTCTCTTAGCCTGCAGATTGTGTAGAAGACAAGAACATTTATTTTCACAGACTTCTAGATAAAAGCAGAGCAGTTCAATGAATGTTTTGATCATATTATCAATGTACTACGGTAACATCTAAAGGGCATCAGAAATTGCTGCTAAAGACCTAAAGGTGTTTAGATTATAGTCTGAACATGTCTCCACACAGTGGTGTCAAACAGAGCAGTTGCACTTTCCCAGCTGACAAAGTGCAAGTGAATGGCAGAGACCCAGGGCAGTGTTTCCTGGTCATCCAGGGGAAGGAGTTGTCAGATCTACAATCTGACAAATCCCTGCTGCACTCTGAATGCTGCGGTTGGACTTTGTGGTATCTTTGAATAGCGGGTCTTTCTCAAATATTCCTTGTACTACATTCTAATTTTCCTGTGCCTCTACAACACAGTACAGGATCTGTATTGTACTGCAATATCCATAGATAGTCTGTAACACTTATCTGAGGTAATTTTTAATGCACGTGAATTGATAACATTTGAATAGAGTAGTAGTGTCTGTACCAACAGTAGTAGAGAAGACCAGCAGAAAAACTAAGGAGGGCCTGTTGATGCAGTTTAGCTGATCCCTGAAAAAGCTTTTGACCAAATCTTGCATAAGAAAGAGGCCCAATTACCATAGCTTAAATTCCACCCCAGTACATGTGCTATCACCTGACAGTAGAGGGGGGGACTGTTAAGTACAGGATTTAGGTCAGTCTATGGTGTCATGAATATAAATCCCCAAATACACAATCTCTGTCTTGTTTCAAATTGTGTTACCAGCATTTAGCTTTCTTATATTATCAGTGTACGTTATTTCAGCTTTGTATTTGACTTACATAATATTTTATTATAAAACAGGCTGTTGCACGTTCAAAACTGAGTTACAGGGAATTGTATCTTGCTAGGATACCCAAATAGCTTTAACTTTTAATTGAAGCCATGAAGAGAGAGTATTAAAAGTGTTAAAAACGCGAATAGTAAGATGGCTTAATCACTTAGAATGGTGCTAAAAAATATAGATGTATCTCTAATTGGAAATCAAGAACAGGATGTTATAGTAGGACTGGTGATCCTATCTGCAGCAGTAATTCTGACATTCCCCTCTCTAAAAGCTGACAGAGAACTTCCCCCTGAGGAAGACAGTGCAGTGTCCTCAGTCTTTGCCTTGGTGGCAAAGCACTCAGTGATTCATGAGCTAAATACTTTGTATAACGATAAAGCAGGGCAGTAACAATTCTGTGATTTGATGTTCTTCAGGTATTCAGCTGCGTAAAGTTGAAGAGCAACGCGAACAAGAAGCGAAACATGAGCGCATTGAGAACGATGTTGCTACCATACTTTCTCGTCGCATTGCTGTAGAGTACAGTGATTCGGAAGATGATTCAGAATTTGATGAAGTGGATTGGTTAGAGTAAAATTAATACATTGCTGTACGCTACAAAATCGAATGCTAATGTCCATTGTGGTGCTTGTTCTTTGAAAGTTTGATGGTCATTTCTAGTGTTTTTTGTATTCTTTTCTTTACACGATTAATCCATGTTTTTCTACTTTTCAGTTTACAAGCATTTCCTAGTGCATCTTTTGAAACTAAATGTTTTACAGTGGCTTTTCTTACACATCTCTTTCTTTGGAAGAACATACTTTGTTCCAATAGACCACTAAGTATTAAGCATGGGCAGCTGTTGGTAGAGTAGCAGTTTCAATTTTTTGGCATATCTTAACTGTGCACTTTGTGAATTTTAAGTTAATGAAGGCAACTGAGATTGACATTCCGAGGGCAGCTGTATGTACTAATGAGCCTTATTCCACTTCTGTAATGTTTTAAAAACATTAAACCTAGCTATTGAGATATCACTGCCTCAGTTACATCTGTACAATAGAAGTACATATAGTTAGCAGCACTGAACACACTGAAAGGAAAATTGATCTTTTGGGGTTTTATTATTGTTTTATTGTTGTTTTTAAATAATTATGGCCTTATTTGAATGTTTAGAGATTCCCTTTCCCTTCTTCCCTCCCAGGTACATATTGTGTGGTACTATTTTTGCCTGCATAATACAAGTTTAATTTTTTTCTTCGTGAAATCTTCTGACTTAAACATGCTGTGTAACTTATGTAACTGTTAAAATAACAGTTTGATTTAATAAATGGTTCATTTTAAATGTTCCTGGTTGTTGCTCTTTCAGTGAAGCCTGCTTTTCACTGCTACAACTGAGGCATACCTGGATATCACAGATTCAATCTGTGGCCTTCAGAGGTGCAGTAAATATTCACTTGATTGAAGGACCTATGTTAAACAAAAAAAAACAACGTATGTACTCTTATCATCAAGTGATACAAGAAGATGAAAACTTAATGTGATCCATTAGTTTAAAAAAAAAGAAGTGAGAACTTGTGGTCTATATGGTTTAAGTGTTTTTTTTAGAAGCTTTGGCATTGTATTTTGAGAAGTGGAGATACAGCGGTCAAAATCACAATCAGTGATAGATTGCTAAGAATATGGGTAATACTGCAAAGTGATTATTTTAAGTACTGAGAATTTTGTGTATGTTACAACATTGAATAGTTACAGGGCTTTTGTGTTTCCATTCTCTAGAATAACTTTCTCGAGTGTGAACATAAAGTCAAAACTCTTTTGATAATGGAAGCATGAGAAGCTAAAGAGTGCTCTACCTTACTTAGTCCTGGAAAATGGAATTACCGAGTAGTGGGAAAGCAATGTTTAAAGTTGGAACAAGGTTTCTGAAGGTGAGATATGAGATGTGAAGAGGGTGGATTTAGATTAGATATCAGGAAGAAATTGTTTACTGTGACACTGGAACAGGTTGTCCAGTGAGGCTGAGGGTGCCCCCTCCCTGGAATCGTTCAAGGCCAGCCTGGATGGGGCTTTGAGCAGCCTGGTCTAGAGTAAGGTGTCCCTGCCTGTAGCAGGGGGCTGGAATTAAATGATCTTAAGGGTCCCTTCCAACCCAAACCATTCTATGATTCTGTGTTCTGTAGGATGCAGAGCAATTTGCAGAGGCATGTGGCTATCAGCCTGTTTGTGGGACCGAGCAAATCTCCAGAAGTGCAGACACGTAGGAATACAGCAGCTCTTCCAGCTTCACTGTCACCTTCAGAGGTTATGCTGTAATTTTATCTAATTGAAGAATTTTTCCATTGCAAGGGTAGTGCCTTTGTTACATTTGCAGTTTTCCTTTTAGATATTCTAGATGCAGCCTGCACTGTCACTTGAGCTGAACAGCATCATGGTGCCTTTGCTGGCACTGCTCAAAGCTGATGGTCTCAGTGTGCCACCACATCTGCCCTGTAGGTGTGCTGACTGCATCTGGTATCTATGAGCTGGGTGTGTTGCATAGCATCAAGAAAGCCCAGGGGCTAGTGTGGGGAAAAAAATTTACATAACTGCAGTTATCACATACTTGGCTTGAATATATTAAAAGTCTTGATTGATAAATGGTTGCTATTGACCTGTTTCACTGTCCAGGTGATTAATAGTACCTCTTCCCAACTGGTTCCCAGGGCAGACAAAGCACTCATTTCATCTGGTGGAGTCACAAGTTAATGAACCTTGTCAGAGAAAAGTCAGGAGTTAAATTCAGGCAGGAATTCAAAGACAGGATTCTTGGCCTTCTGCCATCGCTACAGCTTTCTGCCATAGCAACTGGTCTCCAGCCAGCGATAGCATGATTCACGAGGACTGAGAGGTGATTGTTAGATTTGAATATTTGCATGTACAGATATACTCAAAGCCAGGCCTCTGTAGTTGCTGTGATTTGTGGTCCTCTTACTGGAGGTTCTGTCTGCCCTTCTCATTTGGCGGAATGCTGCTTGGGGGCTGCTTGTGCCAGCTATTAGCTGTGTAAAAGATTACTGATCACTGTGTCTTGGAAGCTGCAAAATCAAGTCTCCTGTATTGAACTGTTTATAGGTTCTGTATTTACAGAAGTTAGTTAAAATCAAAGGCTCAAAGTGTGCCATGGAAATGTCTCAGTAGTGCTGTTCAGTGAACAAGTGAAGAGAAAGCTTTGTAAAACTTCACACCTTTCTTGAGCTGTAAGATGATTGTTAAAAATGATCTCTCTTAAAAAAAAAAAAAAAGAGGGAAAGCAAAGAACAAAATAAAAGCACAGAAGCAGTGTAAGATACTGGGGGACAGAACTGGAACAGAAGACAGAGTTAGAGAAGTGATCATTTAAGTGTTACATCAAATGGTAAAGTAACAGTGGAGTAGTCATCATGGTAACACGAAATAAATAGATGAGTGGATGAGAACAAGTACTGAAGAAACCGAAATGACAAGGAGACGTAATTCTGATTCTTTTTTAGCATTACATTGTGAACAGCGCCTTTAAATATGGAGTACCACTAAGGGATTATGTAATCTCCTGTTACATTGGAACCAGACAAGCAGGAGGCAGATTTAAACCCTTTGAACTGTTGCTGGCAAAACCATCCCTTTGTGAATTCTGCAGAGGGGTGCCATGCCCAGCTCTCAGGGTTGCTGACACTGTCACAGGGCTGAGCTTTGGCATGTGCTGTGGAATGTGGGCATACTACCAGGTACCTGTGGCCCCAGCTGTGTTGCAGCTGGTATTCCCTGCCATACTGGGACCAGCTCAGTTTGCCAGCTTGGCAAGCACAGGGTACGGCCATGGTGTGAGCACTCATGGAAAGCACAAGGGCTTCCTCTGAAAGGTGGGAGAAGCCTCTGGCCCATTGCTCAGACCTGGCTGTGCAACCTGTGTCCGTCAACTCCTCCAGCTCTTTGCCATGTCTTTACACAAGAGTCTTCACATGCTGCTTTAATGCATTACCATCTGGGGTACTTCGACCATGGTCCACACCCTCACTGCACTGGCAGGTGAGGCAGAGGGACAGCATGGTCTTTTTACCAAATCACTTGCACGTTCTCAGAAGACAGACTTTGTTACTGCTGAAACCCAGTGGTTTCAACACAGCTCTATGAAAGTATTATTAAAAAACAAAACAACAACAACAAATCCTAACAAAAACCCTCCAAAATTATCCCTGTTTACTGTTCTGTTTTTTTTCTTTTTAGTGACTCCTTTGAGAGCCATTTCCTTCATCACAGATTGACAACACCAACACATGGTTCCTTTGGGCTCCCCACATTGCTTCTGCTGTGCCTCACTCAGAGCTATGTTGCTTCTACTTTGGCTCTGCCCAGTCCCCTACCCTCAACAAGAGTAGCATAGAGTCAGGGAATTTGCATGCTCATATAGCTTAATGCTGACTCTTGGACTGAATCTCTTTTTATGTTTTGGCAACCTTGCCCGTGGCAGGGGGTTGGAACTGGATGGCTTTAAGGTCCTTCCAACACAAACTGCTCTATTATTCTGATGTTTGAAAACATGATTGGTAGGTAAAACTGAAGGGGTTCTTCCTCCCGTTGCTTGTACTCATTGCTTCTTTATTGGGGCCAGCCACCACTGCAGCCCCAATAATACCATCTGTGAGGGCTGCAGCTGAGGCTGCCCTGGGTGCTCAGAAGCAGCCATCCGATGTCCTGGCTATGTATGGCCAAACGTCCCAGGATGCAGCTCATGAATTGTTCCTGTCATTTACTTTCCGATGGGATGCTGCATGCTCTCCTTGTTGTTTTAAATTATTGGTTTTGTTGTTATTGCTGTTGTTTTTTTTCCCCACAGGTTTAGCAAGCAAACAGTGGGAGACTGAAAAATTAAAGCCATAAAGTAATCTGCATATTATCAGCAATTACCATGAATCAAAAAACCACTTCAGCTGGTTATTATTTCCCCGATAATGTAATTCTCTATGCTGACAAAGGTAGGAAACACTCATTTTCACCACAATAGCAAATGATTTCCTGCTGTGAGCATAATACTCTATCAAGCAGTTTAGTGACCACATAAACCCAGCTAATAAAGTTGGCATAAGATACAAGGGCTCTTGGAACAAAAGACCTCAAAAGAGCTCACGTGTGCTGGGAGGGAAGATGGCCTGCAAGTTAAGCGCAACTCCCTCAACCTTTCTTCATAGGAGAGCTGTTTCAGCCCTTTGACCACCTTTGTGGCCCTCCTCTGGACTTGTTCCACCAGCTCTGTGCCTTTCTTTTGCTAGGAGCCCCCTCACCCGGATGCAATACTCTGGATGTGGCCTCACAAGGGCAGAGCAGAGAGGAACAATCCCTTTCCTCTCCCTGTTGGCCTCACTTCTTGTGATGCAGCTCAGGATGCGGTTGGGCTGTCCAGGCTGCAAGTGCAGACTGCTAGCTCATGTCCAGCTGCTTGCACATCACAACCCGTGTTGTGAGTCCTTGTCCTCATGCTTACTCTTAAGTGAGTTCCCACTCCGTACTTGTGTCTGGGATTGCCCCCACCAAGGTGCAGCACTTTGTACTTTGGTTCATGCGGGTCCTCTTCAAAAGATGAAGCACAAGCTCTAAACTACATTGGACAGAGAGTGGAGCATGAGGTTTCTCAGCCGCTCAAGCCTTCCTGAAACATCTCCACCCATCTTTATGTTTTCTGCAGCACCCCCCAGCAGCCCTGCAACCTCCTGCGTGTCGGCGGCCTTTCGGTCCAAGCTGACCCCTCGGCAGCGCACTTCGGGCCGGGCCGGGAGGGGGCAGCAGCGCCCCGCAGGCGGGGAAGCTCATCACTTTCCTGCGGTGTTTTCCCGTGGGGTTTCCCAATATTTCCAAAAATACCCTCTGAAAAGAAAAGAAAATCGTGAATGCTGGGAGGTTTGCTGATGTTGTGGGCAGAGACTGGAGTGTGCTGGGGTTTGCAGAGGAACGAATCGCTGTGTTCACATCAGGCTGCTCCTCCGCATGGCGGTGGTGGTTCTGCAGGGGCTCTTACTTGCAGGAAAGCTGCATGAGAAATGCAGGGTGTTACAGGTGTCATTCCTTACAGGTCGGTACCATCCTTAAACAGCTTCAACAACTTCAGTATTTTAGTTATGCGAAGGACCCGCTTGGACTGAACCCCTGAGAATCCTTTGGGAAAACACACAGAAGAGCTCAGCAGGGAAGCCCTGGGGCAGGAGGGGAGCAGGACCTCTGTGGTTGCTTCTCTCCCCCTAGGAAGCAGCAGGCAGATGGCAGGAGCCGTGCTGAGACCTCGCTGAGCACTGTGAGTCTGTGGGCTCACAGGGA